GCCCGTGGTCGGCTTCGTGAGCTCGCAGGTCCCGGCGCACTGCGCGCCCAGCCCGGCCGGTGCGCTTCTGATGGCCGTGGTCCCGCGCCGGGGCAGGACTGCCGAGTCGGCCACCTCCTCGGAGGTGCTCTTTGACTCCGCTCCAAACGGCTCGAAGATCCACGCCGAATTTTCCGCTTGATGGCGGCTCAAGGGCGTCAGCTCCGGACTTGACACCGCGGCAGGCCTGGGAAGGCGGGTTGGTCGGCGGGAAGATCAGGACTGGAACCCTTGCCACCGTGGAGTCTGGATCCAGCACTTTTTGGTTGTTGCCCGAGCTGGCAATCAGCTGGAGCCGAAAGCTCTAGGTTCTCTGTCCTCTGTGGGACACCAGACCTAGTGACCCTCTCCAGCCCTTTCAGTTTCTGCTCATCCGTCTCTCGCAGCATCTTCTCCACCACCTTCCCAACCAGGCATCTTTTTCTTTGACCTCAACCCTTCATCTGGTAGGAAGGAAACCCGTGGCTGGTCCACCTTTGGGACCCTGTTGGCCCCTTTGCCTCCTGGACAGTACAGCTCAAGCGAATTCCTCTACAGGATTCTGAGGGGGAGTAGGAGGAGCCTTCTCCCAAGGATGTTAAAGACTTGGATCTGAAACATGGGGGTTTTCAGGGACAGAGACCTCCCTCCACACACCAACACATATAATCACTTATTCCTCACCCCCGCAGGCACACAAACACACCTCCTACACAAAGAGTGACAGACTCCAGGCTTCACACAGTCTAGGTCCTGCCCTTGCCTCTGCACAGAAGGAGGGGCTGGAGGGCAAAATCCCCGGTATCCTGACGCACCCCCCTCCCACTTTGAATGCTCTTCTCAGGTGTGCGCCCAGGTGCACCCAGCTTTCCAGGGAGTCCTGCTCCCACCCCTGACTTTATACTGCACGGATCACACCCAGCCCCACCTCCATCTTCCCACGGTGCAGCAGGCAGCGGGCCTCCACAGGGACAAACTGTGTCTCAACTCTCCCCTGGCGCACACCCACAGACCCCAACCCTTGAACTCACTCGGAGTCTTTCTCTGAAGCACGTGGGCATGCACATGCGTGCGCGCGCGCGCACACACACACACACACACACACACACACACACACACGCTCGCACCCTCATATGCACATATTCACCTCCACCCACAGCTTTTCCGGTTGAGGAACAGATAAGGAAATTCCCCGAGCAAACCTCTATGAAGACTGTTCCGGTGCTGAACAGATTTCTTTGGGTTGTATGTTCTAGTTAAAAATGGAAGGAGAAAAGGCATCTTCCAGCCACCAATTCCTCAGTGGCCACAAATCCCAACCCTCACCTTCTCAAGTCATAGGTCATTCTGCTTCACATATCCAGGAGCAATGCCCTCCTTTTAGGACTGGGAAGCCCCAAAAGCCAAGTCCATAGGCTGGAAAGCTGGGTTAGGGTTAAGGCTTCATCTCTTGTGGTCCCCCCCCCACCCCCGCCTCTCCCACTGTCCCTGCCATCGCCCCAGAAAGGATCCAACAAAGCAGACCACCCTCTCACTCCCCATGCTGTCACCACAGGACACTCAGAGGTTCCCTATCCAGACACAGCCTGAATTCCACACCATTGCAGCTCAACAGGTCTTTATGAAGCATCTAGCATCACAGGGGTTTGGGTAGCTGGGGCAAGGAGCCAAGGACTCTGGAAGCTGGTGAGGCAACCAGGAGCAGAAGGCTCAGTTGGCTCCCAGTCCTTTGTCAACAGCCATGGGATCCAAAAGATCTTGCTGTCACCTGAGAGCTCGCAGCCTGTGTCTTACAACAATAAAACTCCCAGTCTCACCGACTCCCAGCAGGCACCAAAGCATTGTTCCAGACTGCAGCAGGAGCCAGGTGGCCCTTCAGACGTACCAGGTAAATACCCTGGTATATGTTGTGGAAACTGAGGCTCTGTGGGGATTGGGAGCTGGGTGGTTTTTCTCCCTGCTTTGCCTGCATTATTGCCACAGGAAAAGCTTGAAGCTGACGCCCCATCTCTGGGCCTCAGCCACTTTGTCTAGGGGATTTGGAGTCCTTGGGCAAGGCAACACGTTTCTTTCCATATGTGGCCTTTCTGGCACTGGGTCTTTAGTTCTGTCAAGATGATTTGCTAGGCCACAGTCTCACAAAGGAATTGGACAGTGTACTATGCAAATAGCATATGTAAAAATCCTTGCAGGGATTGATTAATGACTATGCAAACTAGGTGACTGTGACTTGCCTAAGGGTCAGTGTTTCTACCTGCTACGTTTAAAAGGACAGTTCCACAGAAGTCAGGGAGGGCGGGCAGCTCACTGCTATTGAGAAGAGCCTGGAGCTGCGGTTTGAACCTGGAGACCCTGAACCAAAAATCTCTTAGATCCAGGAGTCAGAGCTTAACATTGGAGACAGCACAAGGTCAAAAGAGTGCATGAGGCAGCGTGTGTGTTAAGAACCAGGAGACCAGTGCAAGATCACGGCAGCGGCCTTCCAGCCCGTGGCAGCTGTTGTGGGCTTGTTAACCACGGAGTGGCAGAGCTGAGTGCCTTTGGACAGGATGCTAGCTGATAGAGTGAGGGGCCTTCAGACACTTGATGGTGGGGCCAAAGGAGATGTAGCACTCAGTGGAGCTGGGGGTCAATGACAAGGGCCCCAAGGGAGTTCTGATCTTGAAAGCTCTTCTGATTGACATACTATCTTCTCACTTGTCTCTGTGACCTCAAAGTTGATCCTGACCCTGAATTGTAAACTGTCACTTCCCTAGTAAACCGTATAATCATGAGTTGGGATTAGGAGTTGGGTCTGGCTATTGCAATGAATTCATGAACCCAGTAGAGAAGCAGAGTGTCAGAATTGGTAAAAAAAGGTGGCAAGGAGAAGTATGTCCATCCTCTGCCTCATAGGAACCAACTTTGTATTAATTTTTACATGGGCAGACAACTTGGCACTTTCAGGCCTCAGCTTCCACCTCTGTAAAATGGGGGTAAAATGGGTACCTATTTCCTTTGGCTGCTGTGAAGTTAAGGGGCCTCTCAGTGGGACAGTGAGTAAGTGCACAGATGTTAAGCAGAATTTAAGCCATTTCATAGCAGAACGATGGGGCAGTCAGCTTCTGTCAAGACGCCAGCTGTGGAGACCTAATACAGCAGCTTTACTCTGTCCTGTAGAGGTGCTATGAATCAGAATTGACTTGGCAGCAAGGTGTTGTATTTTATCATGAGGATTCAATGAAATGATACCATTAAAAAAAAACTTAGAGCATAGGGTCTATTCTATATAGATAATAAATGATGCTATTATTACAGCTGTTTGTTTATCCCTAATGAAGGCATCAGGTATTCCTCATGTTCAGATTTGCTTGTTAGGGAAGTTCTTCTAGGTGTCTAGCCTGGAACCATCTTGCTGCATCGGGGTTACTGTCACCTAAAACTGTGAGCACCTGTTTTCTGAGCCTTCAGAGGACTGGACATGGGCAGGGAATAGAGTCATTGGAGGAAGAAACCCCCTAAGGAAAGAGATCAGAGGGAGTGATGGTCCCCATCCAGCGCTCGGTCCTGACCCTCACCTGGGTCTCCGGTGTTCTCCCTCATCCCTTCCGGCCCCCAGTGGAGGGAGCCCAGAGAGGCCCTCTCCTTCCATGACGCTGCTGGCCCCTGTGTCCTGCGTTCCATGACGTGGCAGGAAGCGCTGGCAGCACCTGGTTCCCCAAGGACAGCCATGCTGCGTGGCACAGACCCCTTCAGGCCTGTTTCCATTTTGGCACTGTCATCAAGGCCCAGGTGTCCTGGGTTGGCTTCAGGGAGGGGCGCAGAGTGAGGAGGGACACTCTGTCCCCCAGGAGCAGATGTCAGGCCTGCCCTCTCTCAAACGAGCCCCTGAGGCCACCTGGCTCTGTTGCTAGGCCGCGGCTGGGAGGCAGGGCTCCTGGGTTCCACTCGGCCTTTGTGTCTGGCATGGTCTCCGCTGCCGCTGTCTCCCCAGGCTCCTCTCCCCCCCATCCCCTCCCCCTCAGCCACGGGCTGAATTATTAATAAAAACGCTGAGGAAGCTGCTTGTGCAGCTCACGTGACAACACACCTCATTCCTGATACCATCCATGTGGCAGGAGACTCTGGCTGGGCGCTTGCCTGGCCCAGGAGGGACAGACTTAAGACCAGCTACAAGGTGGCTGTGAAGGATAACAGCAGAGTCCAGCAATGGTGCCACCCTGTCCCTGCATCTGTCCCCTTCCCAGGTCCCCCTTCCTCCAGAGTCTGGAGGAAGTAGAAACAACAACGTCCAGAACCAAATATGTCACCCCTCCAGAAAGGTCACGATGGGCCTAGAGGCCTTGCTCACCTCTGCGCCACTGGTCATAGTAGAGACGCAATCAGCATGTGCTGATTAATCACCTCTTCTCTCAGGCGCTAAGAATTCTGTGGTATAAACAGGTATACTTGAGTCGGCTAGCTGAAAGGTTGATGGT